TCAGTTTCTGAGGTGGGCAGAGGAAAGGCTCTGCATTTGGATACGCTGCTTTTTCTTTGTAGTTGCTGTGACTCTGTACGTTTGCCTCAGAGAGCCAATTATAGGGCAGAAATAAAGCACCATCACCTTTTAGCGCAGGAATTTCATCCTCCCGGAACTGAAGAGTGTAAGGAGAACAGAGACTAATTTCTTGCTAATAAATGCTTCTCAAAAATCTGAGGAGTGCTGGCTAACAATACCAACGCACCTCTGAGTTAAGAGTTGTAGATGCAGTTCCTGCGTCTCCCCGGCTGTTAGTGGAGATGTGCTTCTGGCTTTAAAAGCCGATCCTTGCGAACGCCTCCGTCAGCAGAGCGGAGCCTGCGGTGCTGAATGTGGTCGCTGACTCTAATCAGTACCTTACCTACACACTGAAGGGGGAAAAAGAGGCTGGTCAGTTGAAGTGTTATTCACTCTGAAAGCACCCTACCATCTAAAATGGTGTAATGACAACCAAACAGCCACTCGTTTTCCAGTTAATTAATGCAAATCCTATAGGAATACTTCATTGTACCAGATGAGCACACAGCAAACTGGTAAAATAAAAGTCACAGGAAGAAGAAAAAGGTTCAGTCTAGTAAGGCTGTTAACACCAGGTAGGTCACAAACCTTCTCACTAAGTTAAATATAAATGTAGAGATGGACACAAATCTCACTCCTCTTACTGTTTTGGAAAAAAAAAAAAAAGTAACTGTCAGTCAGCTTTCTCTCCTTGAGTTGCTCCTTAGCTGATGACACAGTTTTCTAAGATTACATGTTATGATTCGACACTGTGATGAGAATATCTCTCCAGCTCAGTAGCTGCTGGGCAGCAGGGGTTGCCCTCTGTTCCCGCCGGTGTAGGCTAGCATCACATTTATTTAATTATTTGTAGAGCATGTGTTTATATAGCTTAATTTTCCTGGGTTTTTTCTCTTCAATTGTGGTGGAGTCAGATCCCATAGTAGACTTTAAGGTGAAACTGATGTTTCACTTCAAGACCCCTAAGCTCTAGAAAGGAGGGAATTCCAAAAGCTTCTTAAGTGTCA